TTTTTGTAGAGACGCGGTTTCACCATGTTAGACAGGATGGTCTCAATCTCCTGACATCATGATCTGCCTGCCTCGGCCTCCTGAAGTGCTGGGATTACAGGCATGAGCCAACACGCCCAGCCCAGCCTATCTTTATAATGACAGAAGATAATTCAAAATATAAAATTTAAAACTAAAGGGTTCTGCAATTAATGTTTCCAAATCTCTCAATATCTGCCTTAATTGTGCTCAAGGAAAATCCAAATTCATAATCTTGATAATTATATTTCCTTCAAGGGGGTTCCTAATAAGCGCTCTCTCTCTCTCTCTCTCTGTAACTTTCAACCAAATAAAAGTTTTAGAGAAGTAGCTATTTTGCTTTTTTTTCTTTCTTGAGACATAGTCTCACTCAGTTGCCCAGACTGGAGTGCAATGGCGCAATCTTGGCTCACTGCAACCTCCACCTCCTGGGTTCAATCAATTCTCCCTGCCTCAGCCTCCCAAGTAGCTGGGATTACAGGCCCCCACCACCATGCCCGGCTAACTTTTGTATTTTCAGTAGAGACGGGGTTTAGTTGGTCAGACTGGTCTCAAACTCCTGACCTCAGGTGATCCCCCCGCCTCGGCCTCCCAAAGTGCTGGGATTACAGGGGTGAGCCACTGTGCCTGGCCTATTTTGCTTTTTATGACTAAGTTCTGCTTCTGATCCCTGAGATCCTAGCATTCTCTGGAGTGAGCATACAGAGATATATGTAAAAGGATGTGTAATAGCAGCTTAAAAACAACTCTAAAGTCCAATGATAGAGAAAAAACTGATACATCAATTATGGTACATCCATATGGTATATGATGCAGCTATAAACATGACAATAAAGTCAAAAAATCAGGTATGACCCCATTTTAGTGTGTGTTTGTACATATATAAACACACATAAATACACACACACACAAAATAGATGAGAATGGACTCTCCAATTTGTGCAGAACATTCACCTTCAGCAGATTCTAGATTCCCACTCCAAAATATTTTGATTAATAAATCTGTGGTGAGGCCCAGCAATCTACATTTTTGTTTTGTTTTGTTTTGTTTTTTTGAGACGGAGGCTCACTATGTCGCCAGGCTGGAGTGCTATGGCGTGATCTTGGCTCACCATAACCTCCGACTCCTTGGTTCAAGCGACTGTCCTGCCTCAGCCTCCCGAGTAACTGGGATTACATGCATGCACCACCACGCCCAGCTCATTTTTGTATTTTTAGAAGAGACGGGGTTTCACCATATTGGCCAGGATGGTCTCGATCTCCTGACCTTGTGATCCGCCTGCCTCAGCCTCCCAAAGTGCTGTGATTACAGGTGTGAGCCACCCCATCCAGCCCACAATCTACATTTTTAATGAGAACCCAGGTGATTCCAGCAAGATAAACTAAGGACTACACTTTGAGGCACAGATCTAGAAAGATGCACACCAAAAAGTTAACAGTACTCTCTCCAGCATAAGATTTTCAATTGTTGGGGAGAAGTGAAGGAGTGAGGATGTGGGGAAAATAATATACATAAAGCATGTGTATGACTTGTGTAGCTTTGTTTTCCAAAGAGGAAAGTAAAATAATATTCAGAATCAGAGAAATAGGAGTTCTTACCATAAAATCCATAGACCTGTGTTATCTGTCTACTCTCATGATTTCCTCGCAAAAGTGTAATACGATCAGGCCATTTAGCCTTTAATGCAAGAAGGTAAGTGAAGGTCTCCAAGCTATAGTAACCTCTGTCTACAAAATCACCCTGTGAAGTAAAAGTGTACAGTTACAAACAATACAATAGCCACAATATTCTTTTCAAATTACATCAAACTGCACAAACTCATGGTTCATAACTACAATAAAAAGTTACATACTGAAATATTTGGAAATTTGATTTTAACAAAAATTAAAATAGAAGTAAACAAACTGTTTCTATTAAATGTTTATAGAAACAAGATTTTGGACTCCAGGGAAACCTACAAGAATCTGCTGTGCCATTCTCTCAAGAACTTTCCCTGAAAAACCACCATTTTCCCGCTTTTTTTTTTTTCGAGACAGAGTCTCGGTCTGTCACCCAGGCTGGAGTGCAGTTGCGCAATCTCGGCTCACTGCAACCTCCACCTCCTGGGTTCAAGTGATTCTCCTGCCTCAGCCTCCTGAGTAGCTGGGATTACAGGCGCACACCGACACTACACCTGGCTAATTTTTCTATTTTTAGCAGAGACAGGGGTTTCACCATGTTGGTCAGGCTGGTCTGAAACTCCTGACCTTGTGATCTGCCCACCTCGGCCTCCCAAAGTGCTGGGATTATAGGTGTGAACCACCATACCTGGCAAAACCACCATTTTTTTCAATCCTCTATTACCTACATTAGTTGATTTGGTCATCTGTTAACCAGTATTTTTTAAGTAATTTAATTTTTAAAAATTCAATTTTTTTTTTTTTTAGAGATGGGGGTCTCACTATGTTGCCCAGATTGGTCTAGAACTCCTAAGCCTAAACAATCATCCCACCTCAGCCTCCAAGTAGCTGGGACTACAGGTGTGCACCACCATGCCCAGATAAAATAATTTTCTATTTTAAGAAATCATTTTAACTGTATTGGAAGAGCTGCCTACTTGAAGAAAAAAAATTTTTTTGTAAAAACAAATACCATAATTATAACAGTGTTCTAGGTTCAGTTTTGCATTTAACAACCATATATGATAATATACTATTTACACTTCCCATTAATATCTGACTTGGGCCAATATTACACCAATAGGAAAACAACTGAAAGAAAAGTGGCCAAGTGCGGTGGCTCATGTCTGTAATCCCAGCACCTTGGGAGGCCGAGGCCAGCAGATTAGGAGGTCAAGAGATCCTGACCATCCTGGCCAACATGGTGAAACCCCGTCTCTAGTAAAAATACAAAAATTAGCTGGGCATGGTGGCACGCGCCTGTAATCACAGCTACTCAGGAGGCTGAGGCAAGAGAATCACTTGAACCCGGAAGGCAGAGGTAGCAATAAGCTGATCACACCAGCACTCCAACCTGGCAACAGAGCGAGACTCCA